AACGCTATAACTTTCTCGTAAACCAATTCATTTACACATATTTATAAATACAATGTGAAAATGATAACAAAACACCCTTACACCTACACTAATTCCAAATTGGAAAAAACTTTCAACCCCTGAAAGCTTAAACTCAAATAGATAGGTCCAAAAAAGAATCTACCCTCTTTAAACAAATATGTGCAACAACAAAATTCTCCCCATATAGTTATATACATAAACTAACACAAAATCATAAAGTCCAGTGTCTCAGTGATCCAAAACAAATAATAAAAGTCCAGTGTCTCGATAAAAAAGAAAATAGTAGAACTAAAAAAGATGTATTTCTTGCAGTGTTGATTGTTGTGAGAAAACCTCAAAAATAAAGAAACTCACAATAGTGCATTACCATAATATAATCAAAGAAAAAAAAAAAAATTTTTTTTATATATATATATATATATATATATATATATATATATATATATATACACCTATATATACGTATACATGCACACACAGATGTGTATCAAAAAATTGTGCAACATTAAGTGATAAAAAAATAGTAAACACTTGTGAAAACCTTCCAAAAAAGGTAATAAAACACTCGTGCTCATAAATTATAAAATCCTGAAGTGATCCACTCAGTGAGATTCCTACCCACACGTGACACTTCTAGTGAGTAAGGCCAATATACCCTTACCAACAGTAGAAAGAACCCACGCCTTAATCATATATTATGTAGAAATCCTCCAAAGGAACTTTATCCTCCTCTCCTCCTTCACTTTTTGTTAGGGTGATGTTAAAATGCCATCCACATTCACAGATCTATGAAGCATGACGTACCTCCATATATATTCAGAATTTTAATGAATCTGCTTGCATTTAGAGTTAAAAAATTAGCGGTTTGGACAAACCCCACTAAGTGGGGATTACCAGGCAGTTCCCACAGTTTCCCAGGCAGTTCACACACGAGTATCCAGCGATTCCCCAACAAAGATGGCCGCTGTAACACTTCCGGTTCCTGCTCCTTGCGTATGACGTCACTTCCTCTTGACGCGTTTCGTCACATCCGGGACTTAATCATAAGAGAGACATTTACACATATTGGGATTTTTTTTTTAGCAAAGACATGACGCAGAATACATTTTGGACGAAATTTATGCCGAAATTTGACTTTTTACATTTTTTTACTGGACATGTTTAACCGCTTCCGCATCCTCTATAGTAGAAATACTGCTACAGGGCGGCACGGGTGCACAAAATCACATATATATACGTGATTTGCGCTCCCGCGGTTTTCATGTCCCTCCCAGATAGCGTCAGATTGCCCGTCAGTACACCAGTAATCACATTTAACCCCATGATTGCCAGAAACATGCTCACATACACAATAAACCTCCATTGCTAGTATAGTGTCTGAACGGATCAATATCTTTGATCAGGTCAGCACTATACAAGCGTTCACATTAGTATATAGTGTCCCCAAAAATGCAGCCTTAGCAGGATCAGCCCCGGCACCTGCCAGCACCTGCATTTAGCCCCTACGCTTGCCCCCCCTTCTTTCCCAGCAAGTGCAGTGTCAGTAGGTTACTGTCACTTGATACATTGCACAAAAAACCGCACTGTTCGCAGAATCAGGCCTGATCTCTGTTAGCACTTTCCAGTAAATTTTGATGACTCTCATACATATACTTTTCGGATTTACGAGGGAAACGATAGTCACGTGGAGCCCCCCCCGGATGCCCAGACTACATGGGGAGCAGTGGCAAGATAGTTTGGGACTTGGTGTCATCCTTTTTTCATATGGGGTACCACTTATATGTGGACAATTTTTATTCAAGTGTGCCACTATTTAGACATTTGTACAATCTTAGAATTGGCGCATGTGGCACAGTGTGACCTAATCGCTGGGGCTTCCCCCAACGGCTTTTAAATACCCATCTTAGAAAGAGGGAAAAAGCCTGCTTGAGAAATGAGGATGTCATTGAGCTGCAACACCAACTTGTTTATTCTGACAGCAACAGGGTCTTGCTCTCAGAATATATATAAGTAGGTGTGTGCAGTGCTGTTGGATGAGATTTTTCATCCGCAATTAAAAAAAGAGCATATATGCCGAAGCATGGGGGCCTGCAGTGGCCAGTGGGTGGATGGCCCCTATGCTTCGGCATATATATTTTATAATATTTTTTGGCACATTTCATGTGTGCCCACCATTAGACGTGGGTGGATACAGGGCAGTATATTTTAGTGGTGGCCATACCACACACTTTTTCTGGCAGAGATTTCTTCTCTTTTTTTCATTCAGCCCACAGGCTGCATAGAAAAAAAAGAACATAGCACATACACTCAACAAACACCAGCGAAGTACTGGTACATCCCTTGACTTTGAATGGTTATACCAGGATGATGCCTGGAGCTGCAGGCATCATCCTGGTATCATTTTTTTCAGTTGGTGATCGGCTTTCATGTAAAAGCAATCTTAGTGGCCAATTAGCTGCAGGATTGCTTTTACAACCAGGCGCTGCTGGAGATCGCTGTGTTCTAGAGACACAGCTGATCACAGGGTATGGTAAATGGCCAATCATGGCGGCCTTTTACCATGTGATCAGCTGTGTCCGGGTAAATACAGTTGCTGGTTAGGCTGCACTATCTTCACGCTGTCACAGCGTGAGGAAGGTACTGCCGAGAACTGGCAGTTGTCAGCGAAGGGATCGGCACTGATGATCAGTGCCCAGCAGTGCCACCCACCTGTGCCCAGCAGTGCCGCCCACCTGTGCCCATCAGTGCCACCCACCTGTTCCACTCAGCAGTGCCAGCCACCTGTGCCCAGCAGTGCCACCCACCTGTGCCCTGCAGTGCTGCCCATCAGTGCCGCCTATCAGTGCAGCATCATCAGTGCGAGCTCATCAGTGAATGAAGAGTGAATGATGTGTGGCATAAACTTCTAATGCTGGACACACCAAACTATTTGCTAAGAGGCATGTTGAGTCAATAGAAGAAATTTTTTTTTTACACAAAATTGTCAATGAAATAATTTATTGCTCACATATGCCATGGGTATATGTGGAATTACTCCCCAAAACACATTCTGCTACTTCTCCCGAGTATGGGGGTACCACATGTGAGAGACCTTTGGCAGTCTAGCCAAGTACAGAACCCCAAAATCCAATAAGCATCTTCAGGCTTTTAAAGGGCTTTAATTCCTCATTACACTTACTGACTACCCATCACAGTTTCGGAGGACCTGAAATGCCAGAATAGCACCAAACCCCCAAATGAGCCCTTTTTGGAAAGTAGACACCCCAAGGAATTTGTTAAGAGGCATGGTGAGTATTTTTGCAGATCTCGTTTGTTGTCACAGGTTTTAGAAAATGAAGAAAGAAAACAGAAACATTTTTTATTTTCTTTTTTTATATTTCAAAACCTTGTGAGAAAAAATGAGATCTGCAATATACTCACCATGCCCCTTTTTAAAATTCCTTGGGGTGTCTACTTTCCAAAAAGGGCTCATTTGGGGGGGGGGGGAGGTTGGTGCTATCCTGGCATTTCAGGGCCTCTGAAACTGTGATAGGTAGTGCGGAAGTGAAATGAGGAAGTTACGTACTTTCAGGCTCTCAAAGTGGTCATTGGATTTCAGGCTCCTGTTTGTGGCTAGGCTCCCAAAAAGTCTGACACGTGGTATCCCCATACTCGGTAAAAGTAGCAGAATGTATTTTGGGGTATAATTCCACATATACCCATGGCTTTTGTGAGCAATATATCATTTAAATGACAACTTTGTGTAAAAAACTAAAAAAAGCAAAAAAACTGTTTTTATCATTTTCCAAAAAACTTGTGGAAAAAAAATAAATCTTCCATGGACTCAATATGCCTCTCAGCAGAAAGCTTAGGGTGTCTACTTTTCAAAAAGTGGTCATTTGGGGGTGTTTGTACTGTCCTGGTATTTTAGCACCTCAAGAAATGTGATAGGCAGTCAGAAAGTAAAAGCTGTGTAAATTCCATTATCTATACCATAGTTTGTAGACGCTATAACTTTCACACAAAGCAATCAATATGCACTTATTTGAATCTTTTTACCAAAAACATGTAGCAGAATACATTTTGGCCTAAATTTATGACAAAATGTTAGTTTTTTGGGATATTTGTTATGACAGAAATGAGAAAATATAGTTTTTTTCTCAAAATTGTCTTTTTTGTTTATAGTGCGAAAAATAAAAAGTGCACAGTTGATCAAATACCACCGAAAGAAAGCTCTATTTGTGTGAAAAAAGGACAAAAATTTCATTTGGGTACAGCATTGCATGACCGCGCAATTACCAGCTGAAATAGTGCAGTGCCGAACAGCAAAAAGAGGCCTGGTCAGGAAGGGGGGGTAAATCCTCATTATGGCAAGTGATTAAAGTTTTCCCGTGCTTGCGTGCAAAGGTGAAAATATGCGTCGGTCCCACACACAGCAACGATTGTCTCACACATATCGATATCGAATGTCAGATCATGGGCAGTAATTCTAGCACTAGATCTCCTCTGTAAATCTAAAGTGGTAACCTGTAAAGGCTTTTGAAGTGTCACCTATGGATAGTAAAATTTACAATGTTTGTTGTCATTGCATGGGCGTGCACAATTTTAAAGCATGACATGTTTGATATCTATTCACTCAGCATAACATCATCTTGTATATCTTAAAAAAAATTGGATTGCGTATTGTGTTTTTTTGCATTAAAATTAATTTAAAAGTTTTTCCCCAAAAAATTAAGTTTCCAAAACCGCTGTGCAAATGCAGTGTGATGTAAAAAATTGCAAAACCCACCAATTTATTCTCTAGTGTCTCTGGTTTAACTGCCTCCTGCCCGCCATATAAGGAAATGACGGGTGCAAGGCGGTTCTCTCGTTCTTGGATGACATCATATGACGTCCTCCCACTCTAACCGCGTGTGCGCTCCATTGGGGCATGCAGCATGGCGATCGGTGGTGTGCTGTGTCCCTGGGACACAGCGGATCACCAATCAATGGAAAGAGGTGAAAAATTTGGCTCTGTCATGTGATCAGCTGTGTCCAATCACAGCTGATTTCATGTAAATAAGGAAATGCTGGTTATCGGCATTTCTCTCCTCATGAGCTGTCACGCTGATAGCTCGTGAGGAGAGGAGAGCCGGTAATTGGCATTAGATGTACACTTATCATCAGGGCACTGATGATCAGTGTGCCCTGATGATCAGTGTAGCCCCAGCAGTGTCACCTATCAGTGCCCATCAATGCAACTGCCAGTGCCCATTAGTGCCACATATTAGTGCCTACCAGTGCACATCAATGCAACATATCAGAGCTTATCTGAGCTGCTTTTCAGTGCCACTTATCAATGCCAGTCAGTGCTACCTATCAGCGCTCCATCAGTGCCGCCTATCAGCACTCCATCAGTGCCGCCTATCAGTGCCAGTCAGTGCTGCCTATCAGTGTCATATATGAGTGCTGCCTTTCAGTGCCCATCAGTGATGCCTGTCAATGCCCATCAGTGCCACCTACCAGTGCCTCCTCATCAGTGCCCATCAGTGCCACCTATCAGTGTCCATCAGTGCCGCCTATCAGTGCCGCCTCATTAGCGCACATCAGTGAAGGAGAAAAATAACTTATTTACAAAATTTTATAACAGAAACTAAGAAAAAAAGATTTTTTTTCAAAATTTTCAGTTGTTTTTGGTTTGTTTGGCAAAAAATAAATAACTCAGAGGTGATTAAATACCACAAAAAGAAAGCTCTGCCTGTCTCAAAAAAATGATAAAAATTTCATATGGGTACAGTGTTGCATGACCGCGCAATTGTCATTTAAAGTGCGACAGCGCTGAAAGCTGAAACTTGGCCTGGGCAGGAAGGGGGTACAAGTGCCCTGTAGGCAAGTGGTTAAAAAATGAATACAATGTTTGGGGGTTCTAAGACATTTTCTAGGCAAAAATATTGATTGTTACATTTAAACAAAAAAGACCTGGCCTGGAAGTGGTACGTCCCTTATCTGCATAGGCAGTTGTTTTGGTAAAGGTGAATTATGCCTTTAATACAAAACCACAATCTTTCTGTATTGAACAAATTATGACTACAAATCATACAAAGAAAAAAAAATTGAGGGGGCACCCGGATTTGAACCAGGGACCTCTCGATCTGCAGTCGAATGCTCTACCACTGAGCTATACCCCGGCCGTTGGAAAAGTGGCAGAGCAATAATATAACCAATGTTCAATCACTTCATACACTGAATACATCTACATACAAAGGGGACATTATATGTAAAGAGAAATTATTGCTATAGTAATGTCTGCTCTGTCACGTCTATGAGGGCAACAAATGCGAAAGCTCCCACACCACCAAGCTACGCCCTGAGGAGAAGCGCGCTCCCGCGCTCTGCACGTCCTCGCACCCCCGCCCCTCCTATGTTTGTCACGGACAGCGCGGCAAAGAGACAGCTAGAGACCATTAAGGAGAGACTGCCGGAGACTCCCGAGGAGAGAACGGAGGCGGACGAGTGTCAGAGGCACTGCCAGCACACTGCCACTAAACCTAGTCTCTATTTCTGCCACCATGAACCCGAGCTGTGCCCGCTGCGGCAAGATCGTCTACCCGACCGAGAAAGTCAACTGCCTGGACAAGGTAATCAGCCGCCTCCCCCACCTTCCCACCCACCCCGTGTGCCTTGGAATACAGGTCACGTATGGACCTTCCGCACACTGTATACCTCATTCTGTGGGCCCTCCGCGCACTGTGTAGCTCATTCTGTGGGCCCTCCGCGCACTGTGTAGCTCATTCTGTGGGCCCTCCGCGCACTGTGTAGCTCAGTCTGTGGGCCCTCCGCGCACTGTGTAGCTCAGTCTGTGGGCCCTCCGCGCACTGTGTAGCTCAGTCTGTGGGCCCTCCGCGCACTGTGTAGCTCAGTCTGTGGGCCCTCCGCGCACTGTGTAGCTCAGTCTGTGGGCCCTCCGCGCACTGTGTAGCTCAGTCTGTGGGCCCTCCGCGCACTGTGTAGCTCAGTCTGTGGGCCCTCCGCGCACTGTGTAGCTCAGTCTGTGGGCCCCCGCGCACTGTGTAGCTCAGTCTGTGGGCCCCCCGCGCACTGTGTAGCTCAGTCTGTGGGCCCCCCGCGCACTGTGTAGCTCAGTCTGTGGGCCCCCCCGCGCACTGTGTAGCTCATTCTGTGGGCCCCCCGCGCACTGTGTAGCTCATTCTGTGGGCCCCCCGCGCACTGTGTAGCTCATTCTGTGGGCCCCCCGCGCACTGTGTAGCTCAGCCTGTGGGCCCCCCGCGCACTGTGTAGCTCAGCCTGTGGGCCCCCCGCGCACTGTGTAGCTCAGCCTGTGGGCCCCCCCCGCGCACTGTGTAGCTCAGCCTGTGGGCCCCCCGCGCACTGTGTAGCTCAGCCTGTGGGCCCCCCGCGCACTGTGTAGCTCAGCCTGTGGGCCCCCCCGCGCACTGTGTAGCTCAGCCTGTGGGCCCCCCGCGCACTTGTAGCTCAGCCTGTGGGCCCCCCGCGCACTGTGTCGCTCAGCCTGTGGGCCCCCCGCGCACTGTGTCGCTCAGCCTATGGACACAGCAGAGGTATCATGGCTTAGATTCCGTGTGGTGTAGGTAGAGGTAGTATATTCTCTGATATAGGCTCAGTTCAGCATGTGTCACTGTCACCTTACACGCAATAAGCCTTTTATTTGTTACCTGCAGTATGGCCGCTGTGTTTATCCCAATGTACAGTACACAATCATTGTAGGCCAGGGGCTTCATTCCATGATGGCTGTGCTCCTCTCTGCTGTGTATTGGTGTACCTGGACTGTTACATTCCATAATGATGTATATGGTATGCTTACCTTGGAGCTAAACCTCACATCCTGGAACACTGCATGTATTTTCACCTTTTGAATTCTCAACATATTAGTCATACCCAAGAAATACCAACAAAGGCAAGGGTATTGCCTCCCACCCATCCTCCTAAATCCTACCAATACTCATTTTGTGGATGAGCTTTTGCAGAGGCCCAGCAATGCAGGAGGCTGGCCACGCATAGACCCGGAATTGTATACAGGCCTCCTCCTGCTGTTATATTTAGTTACCTGGAAGCCCTGCATCATTTATGTTCTCTGTTGTATAGACTGACACCTTTTCATGGATCTGGAGGTCTGGTGCTCCAGCACAACACAGCTGTCTTATCTGTTCAATTCCTCCATTTATTTATCAATATTATTTTCTAATCTTCCATTTATTTATCAGTAATATTTTCAAATCCTCCATTTGTTTCTTTTATCTAATAAAAGTATTATATAGTACTGACAATTTTGTATAAATAATATTTTCAAACTTGCAATTAATTTATAAATTTTACTTTCAAATCCTCCATTTTATTTATGAATATTTTCATATCTGCAATTTATTTATAAATACTACTTTCAAATCCTCTGGTGTTTTTTTTTTTTTTCTTTTTTTTTTAATAAAGGTATTTATATAGCGCTGACAGTTTATGCTGCATTTTACATATATAGTGTACGTTCACATCAGTATAAAATTTTCCAATCCTCCATAATACATATATATATATATATATATATATATATGTGTGTGTGTCCCTTTCACATGGGTGGATTCTGCCAAGCATATTCGCTTGCTCAGCGGTAGATCTGTCCGCTGATCCCTGCTAAGTAGACGGATGACCGGTCCGTGTATGCTCCGCTTGTGCAGAGTGAACATGGACACAGCCCACCGTTCTCCATGATGTAAACGGGTCACCTGTCCATTTAATTAGATCGCCTGTCTGTTTACATCTGACTGTCATCGGATCCGATAGACAGATGGAGAACTGATCCCTTGTCTGTCGGTTTTTAGTGGATGTGATTGGGTCAGATGCAGGCGGGTGAGAACAATGGATGGTCCGTTGGTACAAATGGAGGATTTGAAAATATTAGGCCCCTTTCACACGGGCGTACTGATCGAGTCCACTGTTTTTTTCAGGAGGACCCGATCAGTCTGCCCGTGTGTGAAAGGGGCCTAATTCTTTCAAATCCTCCATTTTATTTCTAAGCCCTGGTTCACACCAGTGCGAGTTGTCAAACGATTTGACAATTCCAAATCTAATAATAAGTTGCGCCCTATTTGTGTTTATGGAATTCTTAAAAACGGTGCGACTCCAACTTTGACAGATATATGTATATCACACACGTGTGTGTGATTTTGCAGTTCCAGGTAGGGGACGCCTGCCAGTTGCGGCCTCGGCTGTCAGTCACTGGGTCCCGGCCTGTGACTACTCGCCATTGCCCGATGATTGCCGAACATCTCACAGGGGGGGCGGGGGAGAACTGTTTGTAAACAATACAGTTCTCTCCCCTGTCAGCTCCTGCACACTGCTTAGTGAAGTGCACACTATGTAAAACCGCACAGTTAACCCTTTGATTTCCCCATGATAACCCCCTTCCTGCCCAGGGCCATTAGCCGTGTCAGTGCTTTTTATTAGCACTGATCACTCTATTGGTGCCACTGGGGATATCGGTGACACCAAGTCAGTTCCCCCCAGTGTCAGAATGCCCGCTGCAGTTCTGCTATAAGTCGCTGATCGCCACCATTACTAGTGTAAAAAAAAAATCCCAGTATATATACCACGCCATTTGTAAATGCTATAACTTTCATGAAAATTAATTAATTTACACGTATTGGGATTTTTTATCTTAGCAAAGACATGTAGCAGAATACATTTTGGCCTAAATTTATGACAATTGATTATTAAAATTTTTTTTTTTACTGGACATATTTAATAACTATTTCTCAATTGTCAGTTTTTTGTTATAGCTCAAAAAATAACGCACAGGCAATCAAATACTACCGAAAGCTCTATTTGTGGGGAAAAGACGTAAATTTCATTTGAGTGCAGTGTTGCATGACTGCGCAATTGTCAGTTAAAGTAATGCAGCGCCGTAATGCAAAAAATGGCCTAGTCAGGAAAGGGGGTAAATCCTCTGGAGGTCAATCCTGTTTTGTTTGTAAATATTTTCCAGTCCTCAATGTTATTTATACATATTTTTATTTTTTTAAATACTTTCAAATCCTTCATTTTATTTATAAATATTTTGTGTAAAGCTGGCCATACATTATGCACAATGTACTGGCAGCTTAAGACTGTGTCAAAAGCAGGAGTTTCGCAATCGTTTTTGAAGCCTTGCTAACGCCTGTCAAAATTCTGTGCGTTACAGTGGCCAGTGTTGTTCACATGGTTGCCCTTGGGTTGCATTGATCCCAAAATTCGTTTGGCTGGCTTTACTGCTCCCCAAACACCATTCATGTCCATGTAAACGCTCTTCGAATGCACCAAAGATGCCCCTATGGTGTGTATAGTATGTTTAAGATGTGTTTTTGAAAGTGTTACCAACCAAGATAGTACAAGATTCCATACGTTAAAAAAAAAACACAGAGCAGGCGTCTGCATACAAACCATACAAATGTGTCAAAACGCACCTTTATGCAATAGGTGCGTTGATGGACACTTAATTTTCTTAGCATGTCAAAATGAGCCCTAACTGAATGATCAACATTATGTTATGCACCATGGATCTGGTAAAGATCTAGCTGTGTCTGTTCTAGCAAAGGTTTTAGTCCTCAGTGCTTGTGTACATGGTTCTTATGGGTGGTTTACATCCTGAGTGCCTTATTGCAGTTGACATGGCTCCCTTCATATGTGAATTTTTTTATAACTGCAATATCTCTATCCCTTGCTGATTCTTCTTGAGTGTAGTGCCCCTAGCCTGTGTGAATGATGGTTTCCTCCCTCCCCCTGCTAGCCGCCATGTATGCGGAAGTCCGTCTATCCTGGCATCTCCACAAATGCTAATTTTTCCCAGTGTTAACTCTTTCATTTCCTAAGTTGCCCCCACATCTCGGTGCTCTTGAATTCTTTACTCTCCTCAAAGTACATAGAGGTTAGGCTTTAGACACTGTAACCAAACACAAAAATGATTTTTATTACGTTTTTATTTTTCAGGCAATAAATCTAAATGTTGTCATGTTTATGCCTTATGCATTTTACTATTACCAGATGTTGGTCAGTCTCGAATTTATGATGTCTTTAATGGTATTTGGCAGAACAAGCTATGCTTGAATGGGTTAAAGCTGACTTCATGTTTCACTTAACAGCTGAAGAGTTGCAACATGTATGTGAGTTAGAGGGGTTAAGTAGACCCCACCCTTGCTTAGCTTGACCCCTGGAGTTCACTTTCCCAGGGCTACAAAATCTTCTAGTAACATCCCCAGCCCCCTCCCTCCACTAAACATCTTTTTGTGACTAGCTTCCGTTCTGCTGAATAGAGGCTTGTGTGTTTTTCTAAATGCATGTATGTATGTCAGTAAGTTTTACATATTTGTTCATTTTGAGATTGTACCCATATTTGATATGCTTCAACATTAGACCTGTTGCACAAAAAATTCCAGTGTTAATGTTGACTATTTGAGTCTGTTTGAAGAAAGTAAGTACACTTTTAGGGGCTATCATAAAGAGTGTCTTGGACACGCTTTAGAATTCCAGCATACCTCTGAAAAATGTCATTGCAGGCGACAGATTCATGCACTGTATGCGAAGGCACACTTTGTGGACGTTCAGTCTGCAGTGCAGGTAAGCTTTCTTTTGCCAGTGCAGCTGTCGCACAGACAGCCCAGTGGCGGGGGAGTTTTGAAGCTGATGGGGAAGGTGAGACACTAGTTTCCCCCCCCCCCCCCTCAGGTCCTCTCCCCTTGTGATTAACAGC